CTGTCATGGTACCAGCACCCTATTTCCAATTCCATCATGTAAGGCAGCCTGGACTCAATGGGCATAGCGTGGACATACTGCCTTGAGTTTATCCTCTTACTGCTGCTGCTGGCACCGCCAACGCCGCCAGAGCTACCGCTGTCAGGCGCTGCCACTGCACCCACCGCCACCAGTACCAGCCGCAGCACAGCAACAGTAGCTCCCGCACCAACAAAACCAGCAACAGTCACAGCAACCCAAGGAGGAGCTGCAGGAGCAGGAGCAGCAGCAGCCGCAGGAGCAGCGACAGCATAACCATGACCAGCACCACGAGGACGAGCACTGCAAGCAGGACAAATATAATTTCCAGAGCTATACATCGCCGGGCCGACTTGCAGGTCGGCAGAGGCTTGCTGAGCAGATCGCAGCCTTTGACAGAATGATGCAAGGGTATGCCCATTTGAGTGGTAAGTGGGCTTCAACGAGATTCACGCTTCGAAACGAGGCCACTTCTGATGTTTGTCAGTCCTAATCAGCAGTACTTCCATGGGTCCATGGCAACAAACAGCAAACAGGCAAACCACATGTGACCCAGCAAGCAGCCCGCCCAACTCGGGCTCTCTCAGGCTGAGATGCACTCTGAGCCCAAGGCGATTCCTCCAGATGCTCACATCTCAGCTGACAGTCTTGCATGCTCTTCCATCCACATATGCCCACTTCCCCTGTGCAAGATTTCTGCTACTGTCGCAAAAACGTGCAAAAATCATCTAACCCTCAAAGCTCATTGCTGTTGCCGTGGTGAATGGGTGATGCCAAAGTGCAGGAAGGAAGCCTCAAGCTCCCAGCCCATTACCGAACGGCTGCTACTGCTTCTTGCCGCTGCTGCCGCTGCTGCCGCTGCTGCTGCTGCTGCTGCCGCCGCCGTCGCTGTCATGTTTGGCGGGGTCGAGCACGCTGAGGACATTCTGCACCCTAAAGGACTCTCACTATTGCTACCGCCGCATCTTCACTGCCCGACCGGTGGTATTACTGGCAATCGGCAGATGAGACCCCGGGCTCTCCGGGCGATAGTCGCGGTGGCCCCGCTCGATCGGCCTGTTTGCGGCGGTGACTGACTGGTTGCCTGCTAGAACCATTTTCTCAAACAAGGCTGTGTGCAAATTGTACAGGTTGTTCACTGTCATTGTTCAGGGCAGGGCTAGCGCCTAGCAGTCTCTTGCAACTCCACATAGCAGGGCCAACATCAGTACCACTGGCTGTTTAGGGCCTAGGGAGCTCTTTTCCTCGTGTGCCGCGCTCGACGGGTGGCCCAGGCCCCGACACGCTGCAACATGAGAGGTGCTCCATGGCAAATGAAGGCTGAAATTAATGATGGTAACAAGCCATGAAACATAAATACTGGGAGCCCAGTCAGCATCCCAATTACCACTCTAGCCGTCGCCAGGCCTGTCTGCTCGTCACAGATGGTCATCAGACAGACTGAGATGATCCGTTACAAGCACAACGGAAACCCTTCCCCGAAACGTTGCCCGCAGTCTTCGACGAGTCTGTACAGGGATCGCCATGCGACTGAAATAACCTGCCACCCGATTTCAACCACAGGATAACTTCTGGACAGTCTCTGTCCCAGCACACCAGGGTGGCAGGTAGTCATGCTGCATTTCGCAGTCTTTCGATGAGCTCTGCCTTCCGTCCGGAGACGGGCAAGTCCTTCTTCCGCCTTGCCGTGGCCCCATGTGGACTTTGATCAGAGTATTCATACTAGCACCCTTCTCTACAGAGCCGATTTAGCGACATGGGTGTCTAACTGGCAGTCAAACGACGGATCCTGTGATTGAAGGGCCCAATGGATCGACTTTCACGAAAATCCACTGTGCTTTGGAGAAATTTTGATTCAAGCGGGCAGTTTACAGGTAGACATACTCATCTGATTCCACTACATCGCCTTCCGACCAACAATTGGGGGTGAACTCACGTCCGCGCCGCTTACTGCTACCCCCGATAGCTTGCCGTGACTCTCATGGATAGAGCTACCGTAGCACGGTCTCGAAGTGAACCTGAAGGTCGTCGCCCTTTCGGAGGTTGTTTGTCTGTTTACTTTTGCAAGTCAACCCGCCGACCCTGCAAGTTGGGCACGCGTACAGCCAAAGGTCACACAAATCCTCCTTGTTTCTTGCTAAGTGACAGCATTTCCTTCAGCTCGAAAACAGTCTGCTTCTCCAAATCGTCCTTCCGGGCTGGCGCAGGAGAAGAGGGGCCGTGCTGGGAGCCCGTAGGTAGTGCTGAACGGCATCACTGGCTAAAGGGTTCGCATGTGACGGCTTCGGCGCTAGAGTTGCTTAGTCGGACTTGGATCCCGGAATTTTCTTCTGGTGGGTTGCGCAGCAAGAACAAATTCTTGATTTTGAATTTCCCAAAGTCTGCAAGCTTGGCAGTTTGTAGCACCCTTGTGCATTACTGGAACAATCCGTCCCTAGTCCTCCACTGCGCTGGCTTCCTCCTCTTCATCGTCGTCCTCCTCCTCGTCATCTTCCTCCTCCTTCAGGGAGAAAGCAGGGACGCTTGCAGCATTCATCGTGGCCAAGGCAACATGTACAAATCGCTGGCTGCTTCACGCATAGTAGCATCCTTCGCATCTTTTAGCAGTACATATGAGTGCTGAAGCCTGAGCCAGCACTCGAAAAATGGAGCCTCATCGTCGTAGTCGTCCTCCTCTTCCTCTGGGTCCTCATTATGGCATTGTCGGTCAGCGAAGCACTGCTTAGCAGGACAATTTTCTCGCTGCGCACTCCATTAGAGGTAGCCTCCTTGCGTGAAACGCTCTGCATCACAGCCAAAGCCTACAACCCAAAGCACGGTTTCTATAGTTTTCCAGTTGCAAAGCACGGTCCCTGCATGTCCCACGAAATGACTGGCTAGTCTCCCCGATACCCAACGAAGTGTGAAGAAATCATTGCTCTGGAATTGGTGGGGAATGTAGGACAACATCATATTTTGGCATCAGTTTTGGCCTTCCTGTCCAGTCACGACAGGGACTTGAAATGTTACTCTGGCCGCCCTGGCCTTCACTCTAGTCTTCTTTTCCTCGGCCTTTTGAGCTTTCTTTTTCTTGGCCTGACGTTTGCTGGCAAATGATTTCCTCCGGCTTGGAGGCTTGATGTCTTCGGAGACACGCATGACGCATTTCTAATCTGATTCGCTGAGCGCCTTTAATCACACCCTGTCAAGTCTGCTGCGTGTAGCGCGCCATAGAATCCATAAACAATCAGCGTAGGAAACCGTACAAAACACACGAAGCCCCAAACCCTTAAGCTCGTGCAAATCTGAAGTCCGTAAGACATCCCCACGAAACCCGTAGCATAATCCTTACAGGGAGGCTGGGTTCTTGAAAATTTCGCTTGAGGAGGCTCCTGCGCAAGTCAGAAGATACCACCAGAGGATCCATACTTCAAAAGGTCGCTTGCGGCCCTGCATAGATGGGAACATGTCGACTCAGGGTTTGAAATGCTGGAGGATCAGAACACCTGTTCCTCCCGCTCCAGCCATGAGCAGAGAATTGGCGCCAAGCAGCTTACTTGTTCAAACCGGGCTCCTAGAAGAGGCCCATGCAAGCTCATCAAGTGCAGGAGTGCCTCTTCTTCAGCCCACTTGCGCTCGCTTTCTTCAAAGGCCTTTCCTGAGCTGCCAGGAGTGCTCTGAAGGAGCTACTCACGACAGGCTTTGAACAGTCCTTTAACACAATAATAGCTAGAACGCGCAAGAAATCTGGGGCGGCCTGGAGCCATCACTTTGCAAGCAGCACGCTGGAGCCCATCCCATATGCCCAAATGCTGATACCCAAACGTGCAAGACAAATGAACAGTAATCCATGCCGGGCACAGCGGCCGTCCGGATATAGCCTCTTGCTTCCCAACTCCTGTACACCCAAAGTAGTGAGACCTTCTACTAGTCTACTAGGCCTGTATGTGGATTCGCAGACTGCAAATGCTTGTCGGAGCTTCACGAAGCTCCAGCTCACATCCCTAAACCTTCCTGGAAGCCTCTTGCTAATCTGGGCGGCGCCTTTCCTCCTCCATTTTCTTTCGCTCAGCCTTGCATGCTTGACTTCTGTATCCCCAGAAGAATGAGCTCTGCGACTCTAAGGTCGCATGGCCAACCCCGGAGTATTGAACTGACATTTGCAGTGCTACAGGATCTCCTTGATCGCCACAGTGATGTGCGCAGCTCGGCTCCAGAGGACTTATAACGTGTAGCATCGTGTAGCACTATCCGTTCATGATGGAAATGATGCATGAAGGATTTGCAATAGGGACTGCTTAAGGCTTAAGGACTGCTCTTTGAAGGTTTGTTCTAGACGTCGAAACATACGAACATCCTTGTAGATCCTGAAAGAAACTGGGTAAGGTCAAATACTTCAAAACGCTGCTGCCTCTCACTTGGATGGGGCAGTTCTCTGCTAGAATTTGACACTTAGCGCGAGCTGTGGCATCGTTTACTCGAAGCCGCCAAGCCCCAAAGCTGGCCGGTTGTATGCTTACTTCACATGGTGCCGCCTCCTTCTTGTTGAAGTCGGCCCATCTTTCAGCATCCTGCTGCCTCTCCTTTATGCATGAGCAGTATGTCAGATACTGCTTGTGGTATGGAGATACTCTTATTTGAAAGCCCTTTCCTCCCCTCATTGTTCCTGTGCTGTAGCCATCGGTAGTGTGATTTTGGCATCAGAATTCTCATGACTTTGGGCCAGGGCTCTTACGCAGGGGCTGATCTTCGGCTTCGATGCGGGGCGCTACGTGACGCAAGCGGGCTGCAGAATCAAAGGCTGCTGCTTCACCTTCTGATCAGATCTTCTCATGGCATTAATTCTCAGGCCTCCTCAGAGATTTCGTAGGCATTCCTCGGCAAGTGAGTGCGAGGCAAGTCTGCTGACATGAGCAAAACCACATGCAGAAGCGGAAGGGAGGCCGAGAGGCCTGCCTGGCTCTGGGCTGACACTCTTCACTGACGTGTGGATATACATATGGCTCTGGGCCGCAGGATAGGCCCGGTCGTCCCGCACTGGCTGGCAAGAGTCTGCGGCGGCCCTTTGCGCCAAAACATCTCCTGCCAAGCAAAAGCATTGGTTTAGGTCTGCACCTTACGGTCACATAAGGCTTCATGCCTCCTAACGCAAACCCGTGCTGGATCATGGCGACTGACTTCGGGCATTGCGCTTTGCAACTTGGGATCCGGTGCCGACTTGCAAGAAATCTGGCAATTGATCTAACCTGCCACTTGCAAAAGATTCGGAAGTGGACCCGCCATCCAAAGCGCTTCCTGACCTACGCCCCCTCTGGTTCAGCTCGTCCTCTTCAGTGTACTCCTTGGGGAAGGGGCCCTTGATGACGAAGTTCAACTCTGGGTCCGACCTTGATCACTCTGCCCAAGGTGTATGGGAGCTTCTCAACCCCTTTCATACATTCACAGTTACCGTCACTGCATGTTCCTGGGGTCCCTGGCAACTCATTTGAGAACCCCCATGCCTGCGGCTACCAAACACTGGCAGGCTGGACACGGGACCCTTGGCTGGCATGGAAGGTCTTGAAGAAAAGGCAAGTGCGAGGGGTAGGCCACCAAATGCTCAACAAATCATCCAGCTCTCCTTAGCCTCGCGTCGCTCCTTCAGGGTTCTCTGGCTACCCTGCGCCATTGGGGGGTGGCATGCGTGTAGGACCAGGTAGAGCTGGTGATCGGGCTGTGGATGCCATATTAAGCACCTCTTCCAGTGCCACTTGCCACCCATATCTACTAGCCAGCGGTAACTGGACACCGCACCAAATTTGATGTGCGTTTGGAGTGCTGCATTCCTGAGAAGTGTGGACTGAAATCCAAGCACACGCGAGCAACGCCGACACATCATCGGAACCGGGCTAACTGTGAACTTCATGCATGATGTCAAGCGCGCTGCTCGTTGCCCACGTAGTCGGGCTCTGGTGCTGGCTCCTCGACAAGCCATGGGGACACGGGCATCATTCAACACACCTTTGCTGAGTGAAGACACCTAAAACCGAGCATGTCGACATCCCCAAGCCCAACATGCGTCCTCCGGCCACCAATCCTGCACCCAATCTGGCATCGGCACTTTGTCCGGATTCTTTGGCTTCCTGCAGCTGCGGTTTTGATGCTTCACACGCTGTCAACCATTGAAATCTGGTCTGGCATCTTTTAGCTTTGGCATCCTGAGATCGCGGTACCAACACTTCATTTCGTAGGCATCCGTGTCGAACTTGACCTCAGAAAGTCTCCAGGCCTTTCTTGGCTCTGGTTACTTTTAGGCTCAGAACGCCTCGTGTGCAACCCTAGCAGCCTAATGCGGGCTTTATGGCCATTACGCTACACATTCGCATCTGCGCTTTTGGTGAAACCTCCCCGCAGCACGTTCTGAAACGGACGAACATGAAACATTTGCGTGCAAGTCCAAGTGCGCGGAATGAGCCATCGTTGGGCCGCTCATCTGTTGGAGCGCGGGACACTCGCGCAGTGACCCACCTCGGAACACGGACAGCTTGCTCATCCTTCTGTGACCGGCATAATGCAACGCGCATCTCCCACACTTTGCACAACAGTTTTTTGTCCCTTGCTGCTGCGTGAGGGAGTTTAACCTGCAGCTGGCCTTTGGAGTCCGATGTTCACAGCCCGACCCTTTCCTTCGAAGACCGCAATGCAAGCAGGTCCACGTTCCATCTCGCTGCACTTCGACCATGTCTCCAAGAAAAAACCTGAGCTGTCCGGTCTTCAGTGTTTGTGCTGGGCACAGGTTGCACCAGCATTATTCATTCCCTGCAATTCTCCACGCGCTATATGTCAGCATATTCATCTGAAACCCTTCAAGAAGACATGTGCTGCCTTACAAGCATTGAAGACCAAAAGCAAGCCTGGAGAATTCCATGCTCGCATCCCAGCAGCTGGATGCCCCGTCGGCCACCTTGGTAAAGCGTCCCTGGCACATCATACTCCTGGCAGCAAGCACGCACCTAATTGCACACGACAAGTCTACAAGGGTGCTCCGTGTCTCAGACTCCACCTCACGCCCAACCTAAATGGCATTGAGCTTGTAAGTAGCCCCCGACGTAACACAACTCCCTAGGCATACTTTGCAGGATCAGGGTGGCGGTACAATAGTTTGATTCTTCGTTATGTTAGCTGTTGGGACTCCTGACCTGCTTTAACACCAAAAGTCATGAGCCCGCGCAGAATACCTCACACCACTCCTTCCTGCTCAACATATTCTTCCTTTCAGAGACTCATGGGTACAACTGAACCAATTTGCAAGGCATTGCGCATTTGAAGCGGGACTCATGGATAACCCTATATGATATAGTAGTTTCCATTTTATTGTCCATTATCCCAATATAACCCCAATATACCCCTAATATTCAATCGATCCTATCAGCTTCAAGCTGCTCTCTCGCAAGCCCTTTATCATTGTAGTATACTATAGAATTAGTATAGTATTTTAATATAGTAACTATAGTATATCTTTATAGTATTATCTGCTCTCTCACAAGCCCTTGGGCATGTCCTGCTTCTTGCCGAGGTTCTTTGGCCTCCTGATGGAGGTTCAGGCGGGGTGCTTGTTGGCCAGGGGATTGTACCTACCAGACCTGCACCTTCAAGATTGCCAACGGTAGCGCCTCCCAGCTTGGATTCAACACATCACAAAGCAGTTGTGCGAGGCTTCCAAAATCTGACCCAACAAGGTTGAACTGACCCCCGAGTTTCGGGTGACGAGATCTTCTTGTGGCTGGATTTTTTCTACCCATACGTGGTGATGATAATGTGGAAGATAGGAATCAACACTAGTGCCTAGTAACGACAAATGTTTACACTCAGCACGGATGATATGCTTCCTAGTGCTCTGGCAGTCAGAACTGCGATTGTTGCTATGGCTGGACATTTTTTCATCATCATCACCAACATCATAGTTGTCCCTGATCTCTACACTTTTTGGAGAGGTAGCATATAGCAAAGGGGTCCTTATGTTTAGGTAGCATTAATAAAAGGGGTGACAATAGCGTTTTGTTGCCGGCCCGGGAAAATCCTGGATAATCAAATTTGCTTTCTAACGCCCGAAAATACATAAACAAGTCCAAATCGCAACAATAAAGGGGTGGCAATAATATTATTGTCCGGATAGATTTCCTTCTACTCGTCCTACTAGAATTGCGATTTGCACTACCTGGTCCTACCCGCATCCCCGTCATTTACTATTGCGACCCCAGCGCAAATCGCAAACAATTTCGGGGGGGGGGGTGACTCTTTATTGTCACCTAAACATTAGTGCCCTGTGGCAAGCCGGTTGTCAAAGCTAAGAAGCTGCAAGACCGGAAACCACCCGTTGTCACCTCTTGCTTGCTCCCTCACTGCCTACATGTTGTACCAGAAAGCGGATACGGGCTGAGGTGCTTTGGCAGCTTGCGCCCCGACGGCGTCGTCACAGCAAAGCTGGCGCTACGGAGACCTGCAGTACTAGAGCCATCAAGAGAAAAAAGAACCATGTGCCCAATGCTTATCAAAGAATGACACACGTAAACGAAACGGCCATTTTGCGAATGGCCAGTCAAATCCGGCCAGTAAATAAATACATCGTCTCCCTGGCATACGCACGTCCAGTCCAGTGAGCTGGGATGGATCAATCTGAAAGGACCCGCACTTCTCCAACACCGCCCATTCGCTTGAACTTTAACGAAGCACGCCCGGAAGCTTACAGGTACTGTTGAAGGCTCTTCGATCGTGAGCGTGAGTCGCGGAACCGCACGATCATGCTCTGAGTGCCTGAATTGGGCCCTTTCTGATCAAATCAGCCATAGAACTTTAGATCATCAGCCTGGCCTGGGGTAGGTCTTGCAATCTCGAAAGTGCTGCAGCAGGCATCTCTAGATGAAGCCGTTTGTGTGTTGCGCACCTGCGGACAGCCACCGGGCTGCCATCAAGGCCAGAGATGTTCGCCAGAGAAGTCTCAGGAGCAACCTGGGAGATCTTGTCTCTCAGGGTTTGCTCGGCTTACATTTGGCATGGTGATTGGCATGTTTCAGAGATGCTGTTGAAATGCTTCTGCCGTAAACTCAATCTAATCCACCTGCCTCCTGCTTCTTTGGTCTCCGTCTTTGCTCTGGCCTTTTAAAGGATTCCCCCGGATCGACCAAAAGAATTTTCTGACCAGGAGTCCAGGAGCCTTTGGCTGCGGTCCACCCTGGTGTGGCAGATGCTTGACGGCGACATGGCATCAGCAGGCCCTCCAAAGCTAAAGCCCTAAAAGCTGGCTGCTCGCGCCAGCGCTGCTCGTGCCAGCGCTGCTCGTCTTGCAGCACTCTTAGTCAGTAGGTGTGCCCCCCTGCCACCGGCTTGGATGTGTTTGGGTTGCGCAAAGAGCATAGCAACACAAAAGCTCAAAGGTTGTGTGACAAGTCTGGTAAGGAATGCCCTATGAAAGCTTAAAAAGCTATGTCGAAACAGCTTCGAAACTTGACTTGTTACGTTTTGTTGCTCTTGCAGCACAACGCTGCTCAGAATCTGCGTTTCAGAAGCTGCAGGCGAAAACTTCAGCCCTCAAGAATGCCACGGGATTGCCAGCAGGTATTCAAACAGTGACTTCTCATGAAGTGGATAATGCTTTGTGCTTTAGGCTGACGCTCGCCGTGTGAATCCGGAACGCCAACGTAACGCATGCTTGAAAGCGGTGTGCAAGAATTGCGCCATGTAAAGACATCAAGAAGGGGGACATTTTTAACAGCTGCATAACATGGTAGGATTCGCTCAAGCGAATGTGGTTCAGCCCCGGACGTTGTTTAGGCATCATAACATGCATAGCTGCTTTGCCTCAGCCACTGTGGCGGGCCTCCAGGGACAATGATTTTGTCAGGGCTTGCGTCGTTGCCAGCTGTACTTTGGCAAGGGGCGACTGCTTGTAGGCTGCAGGGCTGCTACCAGCAAGAGACAAGTTGGTGACCCCTAATAATAACCCAAACCGCCACAGTTGTCCAAATGAACTGCAGCAACTGTTTTGCAGAATGCGTGTCGTGGCGATACATCAAGCCTAAACATGACAACAGCATTTGAGAGGCAAGAAAGCGCTTTCATCAGGTGGCTCTACACTTAGCTCCCGAGCCGTCCTACTTCACATGTTCCCGGCAGTCTAGGGCCCCAGATGTGTACTAGTATCCAAAACCACTCCGGTCGCTAAAAACAAAACATGTCGAATGCACAGCCGCCCATGGACTTGGAGAGCCTTGGCAGGACCTTACCTTCCTGCAACATAAACTACTGCAAGTTTGCCAAAGCTTTGGCCTCTCCCAGTCCGCATAGCGGTCACCTCAAGCATTCTTGCAGGAGGAGGGCGCAACTCTTAGGCAGGGAGGGTGAAGGGTGTTGCTGCTATCCGAGCATGGCATACACAACAACTACTCGAGCTCTTAGAACGATCATATGGGTTCATGCCGAATGCAGCATCACATGTCATAGGCCACTCCCCACATGACCTCTCCCCTGTGAATCTGGGGAACTTGCTGGGCGTCTGTCTGTGAACTTTGCACACTTTCCTGCAAGCAGCCGAAGCATCTGGGCATGACGGTAAGGTTGACATGCAAAGTGCCTGGCCATGCCTAGCCTGGCCACATTTTTGATATGGTGAAATGGTGCTCTTGAGCCTGAGGCAGACTTCCTGTGACTTCTCATTTACCACTTGTTTCATAGCAACCTCTCGTTAGCCAGCGACGTTCTAAGAGCATGGGATAACGATTCATGCGCAAAACAGCCCAGTCCAAGTAGATGCAGCTGCACTGAAAAATGTTCAGAATTGTCCTTGGTGGGGATGGACTTGGAGCCTTCTCAGCCTCCGCCTGCTGTGCCTGGAGTTCCGCGATCTGGATTTAGGATGCAGGATGCCCTGGCAATGATGACCATGAGAATCACAGCAATGGCAGCAGGGAGCAGAAGTTAAGGTGAAGCACCATCTGGATGATGCTGGCAGTGTCTAACAAAATATAAAGCCTTGCGTTGAAATGATGGTGGCAACCCATCCTCAGCTTCAAGCATCAGAGCTGGGGCTGGTTTCGACAGAGAGTCACCTGTCGGTGCACTGCCTGTGCAGCTTAACTATGGCAACAAGGCTTAGTATTAAAGTTCAGCGCGTCAATGTCTGCATCCAGATCCTACGCATCCAGCCAAGGCGATCTATCACTTGAGGGCCGCAGCTGCCCGGCACCTGATGAGACCCTTGAACCCGAACTCCAGAATTGTTCTAAGCATCGCCTGGGATAGAAGAATGAAAAAGAACGCTGATGATTCTGTAGAGTTAGCTTCGGCATCAAGTGCATGCGAAGCTGGACTCCAGTTTGGCTTGGCTACGCCCGGTAGTTGATTAAAGCAACTTTTCAAGAAGCAGTGGCTACAAAAAGCGCGGTCCCCGACAAATAGCGCGCAGACCCTGCAATGTGAACACTGAGAACAGGTTCTGTAAGAACCCCCTAGAAGACACCATCATGGCCTCAGCAGCTTCCGCGGAAGCCTCTGGTAAAAGGCCCTGGAGCCTTGGAGCAGGAAAAGTATCTGCGTGAGAATTTGCAAGAGTCTGGGCTTTGCTAGCATGGGCAAGCCACCACAAACTGGTCCCAAATTGATCCCTGAGCTGCTACGGCTTGTCTGGATGCGGCTTGCCAGCCTGATTAGGCCAGTTCTTGCGCAACTGGACATGCACGTGCTCTGACAAGAGTTGGCACTGAGTTCTGGGCGCTTTGCGCCCCTGCGGAGTTTCCATGAAGTAGTGGTACATGGCTTTGAAAATGGCATGTGTTACCTGCCAAAACATGTTTGCCAAGCTCGTTCAGCATTTGGTTTTGAGCTCGAGTCAAGGTAATAACAAGTTTGCTTAAATGGATGAGGAACTGCTGCAAGGCATGTTTTGTTCTGTGTGGGGCTGTGGAGCTTCTCCTAAAGCACCATGGTATGCCTTTTCTGTAACGTAGTACTCACTATCCTCAGCAGGCCAGGAAAGGCTAGGGCCAAGCGGCAGCATGTGCGGCACGCATCCATGAGCAGGCATCAAAACAGACTGTAGCCCTGAGGCCAAAGACCAACATCCATTCTCTGACACACGAGATTGGGAAGGAGAAATAAAGGTAGCTACAATAGTGGACGGCATGTGTGTAGTGTAGTCTATTAAACGTCACTCCACAGCTCCTCATGGTGGTTTGCCAGAAAGAAACAAGAGAGAAGCCTGATCTTTACATGGCCTCAGCCAAGATATATCGATTTCTTCAGCTGTGCGTGTGTCAGGCAGGGACTTCAGTTACGGCGCTTGAGCTTGATCAGCTCCTGCCAGTCTGAGGTTATCGGTTGAGTCAGAAAAATATTAATGAGCATTTGGATGTTTGTGCTTAAAGGTTTGGGCGCACAATCTCGCGCCGGCTGAAAGCTACTGCGTCTGTGCCGGTAACCAAACTGTGTTCATACTATGCCATGTCAGCCCTAATAGGTCATCTGCCTGGTGCGGACTTTTGCTCTGGCATGCGCGACGGAGACAGTGCGCACGGTTGTTCGCCTGGAGCCTAGACTTAGCCCGTTTCCTTCCCAGTCTTTGAGGGACAGTCGGGTCAGGCAGCTTGACATCAGCTTGCAGCAGCCTGCACGAGGGTGTAGCCTGAGCTTTTCCGGAACAAAATTGGACTTGGGAACTCCACCCCGCGTCCATGATTTCAGTGAGCAAACCGTCAAAATTTAGCCACAGCCATTACCTGCTACTTGCTCCAAGCGTAGGCGCCTAGATGAAAATCCCGCAGGGCACTGCAATGCCAGGTCCCGTGATCATGTGATTACATAGGGGTCATTTGGAGAAGCTCCCATGTCAACTTCGAAGCTGGAGCCATCGAACTCCAGCTTGCCCTCCTGGACCAGTTGCGCCAGAAACCTGAGTTGCACCAGTAGGCCTACTCTTTTGTGTTCTGAATTAACGGTCTTAGCTCTGAGTAATGCTGAAAACGCAAGAGCTACCGGGGTCGGGCAACACCCCCTGCTTGCGCTTTTTGAGCCATGAAGTAGAGGGCAGGTTGGAGCTGGCTGCTGCCAAGGACATAAGGCCAGGCGCTGCATTCTAGCATAGATGACAAAATTGCTCCGGGGCCTTGAGCCGCAGATCTTGTTTGCACGTCTCCAGAAATAAGCAAAACCAAGACTCCTGGCCCTAAGCCCTAAACATCCCAAACCATAAATCCTAAGACCTGAGACCAACTCCCTGGAGGCCCTCAGAGCTCAGTCGAAACCTGCCAGGAAACTCTCGGAGCTGGGCTTCGCTTTGCGTGTACGCGGGCTCCATCATGAACCTCTGGCAGAATGACGGTGGGGGAAGTGCTTAGGGACTCATGCCGCTGGGGCCTCTTTGCAGGAATAAGTGAAACATGAATACCATGCAGAAATGGGCACTGGTAGGGATACAGTAATAAACTGGGCGGAATACCTTTTAAGAGTCATAGGCCGAAGACATACTACGTATGTACATCCCCAGACCGGCTCAGCCGGGAGGGGGCTTGTGTACCCCATATATTCCGACCTCCGACGCCGATTTCAAAGTGGGTCGAGAACCATTGGAACATCACATGGAACATGAGAAAGGACATGGGCTTTTGGGAGGGCCTTTCTTCTCAAAAGCGGCTAGAGGGGGCATGTACGCAGAACATGGTGCCATTACACCATTCTGCCTGAGCTAGACCCCCACCCTGTAACAACGATATAATAGGAATATAACAGGACCCTGATATGATCACCCTGTCACCATTATCCCTCACTATTCTGGATGGGTGGTCCACCTAAATTATGCCACCCTTGACTCGCCGGGGTCTAAATGACCTATCCGCGCTAGCGTCACGTTTTTTTCCTACCCCCCAACTTGCTTTGCAATTTTGGTCTGCAGAGGGGGGTCCCAATAATGAACCAGCTGAGCGTAGTACTACGTAGTACAGGTAGTAGTACATGTAATAGGAAATCCGTTAACATCGCGACATTTTTGGGCACGGGGAGTTATGGAAAAACATGTCACCCCATAATTATGGTTGATCTAACATGTTTGTAGGTTTTGGGGCTCCGACCTTGGTTATTCTGGGAATGGTCTTTGACATTAATTTGGGACCGGTGGGCACAATATACTATTGATGGTGGGTTCACATTGCGGCTCCACAGAAATCCCGACACACTTCCCTACAGATGCTCACGATGTATGATCACAAAATCCATTCTTTTCGTTGGACATACTTGAGCCACGCTCATGATGCTGGACAGCCCTCGTCCGCATCTTCCTCTGCTTCAGGCCTTTGCAAGGAACTTAGCCTGTGCCCAAACGACAACAACAACAACTTAGCTCGGCAGGCCGCCTCTGCAGGAAGTTGTGGATGCGGCTCAGGGTCAACCTTGCTCGGAGACAGCTTGCTCATGAGTGGCATGTCTTCTTCATGCTGGGGGGGGGCAGTGTTGGCTCAGTCTTGCACTGGAGTCATGCTCTTGCTTGTGCAACTAACTGACACACCGTGTAGTAAGTGATTTGCTCTTGGCTGCATCATGGACTTGACAGTTTAAACCCCGTGGCCAAAGCGAGGGCCAAGCATCTTGGGATCCAAGTCTGGGGCAAGCAATTGGGGGCAACAGCTGCGGCTTTGGGTCAGGGGAGTTCTTGGCCCACGAAGCCCAACAATATGCTAACGATGATTCATTAGTTCCGATAGGGACTGGTCTTCATTACAGATCTTCATGCCATGGCCTTGTCTTGAGCCTGCAATATCCCATGACATTAAACACGTCAAGAGACATTGACTGCTGGCCTTTGCACTCTCCTGATAGAATTACAAATACTGTAGCATCCTACAGGATCCCGAGAACAGATCGACAGAAAGTCATGAGCCAAGCGACGTCGTGTAGTTCTTGAGCATGCCTTGAAGAAACGACCTAGGATTCCAAATTCCAACTTGCAGTCATTGTTGTTGCTGTTGCTGCTGCCGCTGCTTGCGTTGATGCTGCAAGATCTTTACACCGAGCTGAAACTGAGGGGCAATCTTGAATTTGCTGCATGCATCAGACATCAATAGCACGGTATTCTCATTCCTCTGCCAAACGGCTCGCAGGCCCGCAGCTCCTTCGAGCATGCCTCCACAGCAGCCCACAGGCCAGACAGTTGTGGTGGGGCTGCATGCTTACCTCATGAGTGCTGAAGGATGCTGCCACCTTGTCCAAAACGGGGACTATTAGCGGCAAGGGAAAACATGTCCACCTACAACCTGCAGGACATCTTTGTTAGCATGTCTGTGTTCGGAGTCATGCTATGTGACACACGCGCATCAGTGCTACAGGCTTGTCTACGAAGAGGCTCACAAACAGGACAGCAACATACAGCCACTAAAGGGGTGGATCGAGGGCATTCAGATTCTATGCTCCGAGTCATCTCCACACGATTGAAGGCCCTGGCGCTGACCTCACGGCTTCTTCCCCGAGCCGGTGGCCCAGGCGATTCGGTATCGTCATCCAGGTGGCCTTCCGAGGCTCTACGGCTCATGAGTCAGTCATGGTCAGGCTAATAATGATGACCCCCGCGGATATTGCTTTCAATTCTTTTCGCTTCTCAGTGATGAACAAGTTCAGCAGCAATAGTGATAGCAGCAGAAGTCGCAATCAGAGGAGGAGGAGCAGCCGCAGGTGGAGGAAGAGGAGCTGAGTAGTGACCTTTCTACTGTCATGCACTCCTGATGCGTGACGACGTCGCAACAGCTTTGATTAACATGGTTCTGGTTAGGAGATCAAGGTTAAGAAGCGGATCCCATGCCGCAATCTCATGCCGATTAAGCGGCAAGCGGCAATTATTAGTTCCTTTGCCTGTCTCAATGTCCACATTCACGCCGTCCATTGATGGAGCAGACTCCTGCAAGCGTAAGGTTCAGTTCGGAATCTTCATTTGGAAGCCAAATTGCAATTTCGACCTGAACTTGGGCTGGAGGGCTGACTGACTATGACTGGGCAGTGATTCAGGAACGTGATTTGAGCCGAACTGAATGAGCGTGCGCTAGGCCCGCTAGGCTTCAACTGAATTTGATGCCGCCGTCCATCACTCCTGCAACTTAGCGGCACAGTCTGTAAGTTTTTTTGAACTCGTAACAAGTAGATCCCAAACCTGTCGGCTATGACTTAATCCCTAGCAAGCCCCCAACATGCTGGACATGCTTTGACAACGGCTTCCTGCAGCTCAAAGATGTTGGCGCTAACCTCCTTGAGGACACCCTGCAGACGTGGAATGTGCAGATTCTTTCTGGCCAGGCTCGGTCTACATTTCTTTCTGTGAAATCTCCAAAGCGTGCAATGCTGCTTCATTTGCGTAGAACTGACATCTTCGCAAATCACAGGCTTACATGCATGCCTGTGCCCTCACGGGCAAAGGGAAAGCTCTTGAGCAACACTGCTGACCCCAGGCCTTAACGCTCTCATAAACAGCAAGAAAAATGATACAGATCCATCAAATACAGAGCCTTGCGTACCCTTGAGCTCTCTAGGCGCTTACCGCAAAACTCAACCGCCAAGCCAGGACCCTGGGCGACACCATGCGACACCTGCCCACCCCCCGTGAAAGTCGTGTTGCCAAATTGCTGCTGGTGGCGCCTTGGCTACCCAAAAGCCCACGCGCTTGCGCACGAGAGCCTCCTGACAGCATGAGCTGGGATGTTTAGGATCGGAGCTTCAAGATCGGGATGGCTTTTTGAGATGGAAGTCTAATTGGTTCCTGGGTTCATCAAGAAGGAATCGTGTCAGTAGGTGTGATGGTGCAATCTAACACATGCGCGCCATGCGAATGGCCTGCGCTTCAAAAGAAAAGCTTATGTTGCGAGATCGGCTGTCACCGCAACGTGTTCAAACATCTGCGAATGAAACAAGAACTGATGAATACAAGTTCCAAGCTTGTACCTGTGTAGCAGCCTTCAGGAGTGAGGCAAGATTGAAACCGTTCGTGCACAGTTCCTTTTCTGAGCAGCAACTCATGTAACGCAGGAAGGAAGGCAATTCGGGTAAGGCAAGCCTCCCTCCCTGCACCGATCTAACGGCCTATCTTGATAGGAAGTAGCCAAGTAGCCCAAAGTATCCTGTGCTCTGGGATGTGGACCAGATAAGCAGTGCCAACGTCCAGCGAGTCCAACCCCAACACCATGGCCACCAGCGAGGGGAGGTTTTAAAAAAGGAAGCAAAACACATTAAACTGCCCAAGGTCATTACCTTACACACAGGGATCTCCACATTTCCCCAAACCCTTCAACAGGAAATCTGCACCACTGACCGCAAGGAAAGCAAGTCTTCGCCGCGGCACAGGGAGCTCGAGTTGAGAAGTGAGATCCTGGAGGCTCAGCCTTCGGTGCAGGGGAACACGGGAACGTCACTACTCACGCTAGCCACTCCCACCACTCTCATTCCTGCCGTCATAGCAGGACTTGGCAGTATAAGCACGATACAAGATAGCTAGGGCCTCCTCTACATGGAACCACAGAAGGGAACCGTGGAGTTTGACATGCCCATCCCTTCAGCTGAAGAAGGCTCTTCTCAACAAGGTCAACTTGGCATCTTCTTCGGAACATGTTCTGATGCCTTGTCGGCGTCATCGCATCCGGATTGGATGCCTCTTGGCCAAGAGATGGAGTCCCAGTCCTACTTGAAGTCCCCTTTGTAACAAGCTAGCACTTGGCACTGGCTAGGATTCGCGTGGTGCTGTTTGAGCAGCTGGGGCTTGTCCCAATAACAAGGCGTAATCCTGTATGATTAAGGGTCGCGAGTAGCAGGTTCCTCTTTTTTCAAGCCACCCTCATGCTGAAAGCAGGGCTATCTCCCTATTTCAAATCCGCTCGTTCTATCTGTGTGATGTAGAAGAATGTTAAAGCGCTAGTCAGCATCTCGACAGCGAGTGCCAGTACTGCCCTCTCACAAAGGCAACTGTGCCAGCCGACGTTGCAATATGACTGTCATTCTCTCCAAGGGCCGGCACCTCGGAGAAACACGCCAATACTGCGTAGTGAATTGGCGTGACCTTGGCAGTGTCGGTCTTCTTGCACCCCAACTACGACATCCATACTGTTTTCGGAATCAGTCTCACCGATACTGCCATCACCCCAGCTTTGACCAGTTCTTCCTGTCGAACAACAACACCATGCTAACAAGAATGGTAACAACGTTCAGTCAGTGGCTTACGTGTGACCTGTGTTCCTTTCTCCTTGCTACTGCGGATGAGCCTTCCCTCAGCTGCTGCTTGGTGGTGCTGCTGCTGGCAGTGTTTCCTGCCGAGGGTATGTCAAGTGCTAAAACATTCTTTGAAACCTCCAGCCAGTAGAGCATGGCTGAGGCAGCCTGTGGGCGCGAGCCTGGTAGTAATCAAGGTTGTTCTAGATTTAGCTTCAAGTCGCTCATCTTGATGGATCGGACAAGCGATTAGCGCCGGCCTAGGCAGCAGGGTGCCGCAAAAGTAAGTCTTCAGGGTGTTTTGATTGCAGCGGCAGCAGCAGCGGCTTCAGCTTCGACTACACAACAAGACGAGTCCTTGTCTAGATGTGCATAAACTAAACACAAGCTGCATGATCTCAACGCATGAGAGGATGAGGCCCCCACGCAGTCAGACGCTCCATTCTTCGACGTATCATTACCGTCACGACTGCACTACACCGCCATTTTGCGAAACCTCTCCAGCGGCTCGAAGTTTACTTCGAAGTTTGCTTAGAAGCTTCAAACGGAAAAAGAACTGCCAGGGCCGCTGCGGTCACGTCCAGTGTCCGATCTGCAAGCTGTACCTTGCGTGGCAATGCATTCCACTACGACGCAATCAAGATTTGGAGCTTGACTCCTTGCACGCATCCAAACCTGTTCGGCTCAGAGCTGCAAAGCAGGATTCCATGCGGGCGGCCTTGTGGACTTCACTTGAATGTATTCGTGGGTCAGGGCACCAAACCCATCACTGTTGCCATGGTGGGTCCCAGATTTCTTGTTTCTCACCGGAAAGTGGGAATAATTGGCCCAGACACAGTGATCTCCACGACTCCATGGGCGCGCTGCCATTGGAGGGAACCTCAGGAGGTGCTTTTGCTTTGGGTGCCGGGTTTGCGAATGTTTGCGCTTGATCCGAAGGAGGCATACACCGTCTTTATCAGAAATTTCAGGGCTAATCATGCTGAGACTAGCGGAGATCGTAAGAACGAGCTCGTGCAGCGAAGCTGCCAGTTTATCAGTTTGGGCCCCGGGAGCCGTCCAGTCCAGGCGCAGCTCTAAGTCAAAGCCACAAACTTACAGCATCCCTAGCCCATGATTGACCGTTGCAAAGGATATGCTGCCTTCTCGTACAACACCTAGCGTTTCAGTGGCATTAGACAGAAGAATCCCGTCCTGATGGTTACAACATCTCCTGGAGATCGAGCCTGCTCACCCAAGGACTCTGCACATTAAATGTGCCTTACGTTACTTTAGATCTGCGGCTGGCAACGTTTTGCCTTCGTCTTGGTATAGGCGTTTCCGTACTCTGCAAGGGCGTCTTCCAGCTGCGCAGGCAGCCTGAGTTATCCAGTATTCGGGGTTGATACTCCGAACGACGATGTTTCACAGGGTCCCGCATGTTAGGGCGGTGAAGCTTGTAAAATTTAGCCCAGGCCCCCGGCACAGGTTTCACAGGCTCTTAAGACGCTTCAGAAGGTTTGCGATTGAAAGCTCGGGGCATCTTTGCACAGCTGTCACTGCAGAACGCCATGCCAGAACATCTCCTTGCCCAGTAGCCGAAAGCGTGGGTGATCTGCCTTGCTCAGCGCAGGTGGCCAGTAGTGCTGCGAAAGAACCAGGGGGTGGATGGGACCTGAGGTGAACAAGGTGGCCTTTCTGTATGCGCTGGATAAGATTACGCGTGGATCGGAACATATCCTACAGTAACAGAGGGGAGTTTCCATTCAGATCTATGAAGCACTCATGTTCGGGAGAGTCCCTCACGTCGGGCGCCTACTATGCCCTCAAGGCCATGCAGTTGCTGGAGGCAGGGGACTTCACATTCCTGCGTGAACCCCTTATTGGCGCATGCAGTTAGAGCGTCTGAGCCATGACGCCAAGATTCTGATTCCAGTATTGGTAGCTGGACTTACGAGTGTTAATAAGAAGGCAGGGGGCGGAAGTTTAGCCTACGAGAAAGCTGCTCCGACTTTGCTGCGTCACTCCGGCGATACAGACCATGTACCTGAACACCTGATCCGGAAATGACGTGCCCTCCAAATCTACCCAGCATCACTTCATCATAGCTGAAGCTTGAAGACTTGGAGACTACGCCCGTGACCCGCTACCCTTGAATTGCGGTCAGAAACACCCAATGGCCCACGAGAGTCGCCCTTGAGTTGCTGGACATTGCCTTGATTGGGCAGAGCTGGTTCACATTTCATGGGCCCAACCCTGGCAGTGTGCCAGAGCTGCACCAGAAATCCCAGCACCACTTGCAGCTTTGGCTGTTGATGTGAATTCCTTTTCAGACATGCATACCGTTACACTTCAGACTTGCATTTGCGTTCATGAGCCTGGTGGACTCAGTGGACTTGTGCCAAGCTGCTGTTGACACGCTTCGAGTCCTTAATGTCCTGCAACATGACCTGAGCAAAGGCGTATGCTTTGAAAACCCGAACAAATCTGCAATGGGTAGATGCATTTCTGCCTGAAGCAATGTTTCATGTTGAGTGGTGATTGGGAATGAAGGTCAGGCCTCGCAGTGAACCAGCGCCGCATCCCCGAACCTGCTTTCAGGGGGGCATAAGAATATTGGCCACCGGTGCTAGAGGATACACTTAGGTTCGGAAACCAAGCAACACGTGTGCTAGGTCTTGCTGCTTCGGCCGAGCGATGCTCTTTGATCGTCGAAGTACCGGTAGCATAAGTAATATCGTTTTCCATGGGCCATGAACTTCTGCGAACTTCCCCAAAGCCACGCCTTGTCTTCAGCAACTCCAAGTTTTGCATCTCCCGCTCCGCGTGGTAAGTTGGGTTGGCCAGGAGCCGGTCTGCCAGCATCTCCTGGCTCAAAGTGCTTGGTACACTGATACAGCTCTGGCAGCTGTGATACCTACAGCGATTCTACTTCCTCTTACCTCTGTGGCCAAGTGTCACTACTGCCATAAGGACCAGCATTCCTGGCCTGTTTGCAACAACAGCCATCATCATTGTGTCTACTTTGTTGACTGTTTTGAGCCATGGCATCACATACCCCATTGTTGCCGTCACGACTAATGGGATAACGTAATGTTTTGTGCAGTTGGAAGGGCATAGACATACCGGTGGCTCAGAGCTTCCCGTGCCAGGCAAAGAACAGGCTCAGCTCTGATCAGTCCTTGTACTCCTTGATGAACATCTCCTGAGAATTTATGGCTATACAGGCTTCCTACGGTTTCACACAAATCGTGAAAATCTGACGCCTAAAAAGCCATCTCAACACCTCCAGAAGCCTAAAGTCTCATTTTGAAAGGAGGGTAGACTAAGCTTCACCGAAGGTGCGTTTGCTCCCGCCCCAACGTCAGGGTCTGAGCTACGTATCCAAGCTTCAAGTAGGATCTTTCACGCTCCATAGCAAACAACCCGCAAGCAGAAGGTTGACACACCACGGCGTCACTTCAAGGAGACTTGTGCTGACACCTTTTGACAGACAAACTCATCCCTGGGCCTTCGAGCCGTAGATCCCAACCAGCAGCGAGACCACGTCCTGAGCAAACATCCCCTGCAATCTGCCTCATAACCTAGTACATTCATGTTGATGTTGTTCTGAATTCCAATTTTTTTTTGATTCTAGTATCAATGTCCCAACCTTTGGGTGTCCTTGTGCCTGCCCCTGCGCAGTCTTTGAGCGTGGAAATGTACACACGCTTCAATGTGGTATACACGTGCATAGTAAAAGCTATCTGTTCTTGCGCCAGCCATCGCCCGAGCTTGCGCGCACATGATTTTTTCAAGAAGCTAATGCAGCCCTGTTCTTGCTACAAATAGGCGGTGTTAGAATGGCATCCATGAGAAAGCCATTTACCAAAAGCCTCACGGGAGCAGGGTACCAAACAGAGCAGGTCTGTGGAGTTGTTGGGTCCTGGAGCCGATTTTAGGGCAACACACGCTTGACAAAGCCTTGGACTGGCAGAAGGATGCAAAAGGCCCCTCCTTCACATGCAGGTGCTTTTTTATTTAGTTAATTTTTTTGGCAGGGGTATGCAAGCCCAGCAGGATGCCCTGCAGATTTCTGAAACAATGCCAGGAAACCGCAGAAGACGCCTTTTGCTTTTGTTCTCACCTGAACCCTCGGAGCCCGGCAAGCCCGAAAAGCTGCTCCAAAAACCTCTACTCTACCCTCAAGAACCCCTGCCCAGATGCCTGGGCCCGTCGATGTCGAGATGCTTTCCTCTGCATCTTCGCATGCTTTGCGCAGGCAATGTCCAGTGCCCAACCACTTCGCAGAGAACTCATGTTATAGTGTCTAGAAACCATTAATGCCCTTGCCTGTACATGCATCAAATTCACTGACAAACCATTAACTCGGTGCGCAGAACCTGCAGATTAGAGCAATCACAATGACAAATGCTTCGTGACTTCCAGTGCATCATTTTAGAACCTTCTGAGAAAGCATCAGGTGAAAACTGCTTTTTGCCTATCCATCCAAGCAGCTGTGGATCCACATCGAAGGGATCTGGGGCCCAACAGTCGGGATCCTCCTCGTCACCACCTGACTAGTTGGACAGTCGCAGCGGCCCTTGTGGCCCCTGTTTGGCTGTACTTCTGCAATCCGTGCCTGCTGTCCGAGCCCATATAACCCCTACATAATATACTATAGTAGTTGGTGCACGGCTCATATTCCGCCGTGGTACGAACCCTGCACGGTGGTTATGTGGGGGGTTTTGCTGAGGTGTGGTGGGAAGGCTGCTCATGTTCCAAGAGCATACGCTA